AAAAAAAAAAAAAAAAAACATATTTGTAAAAGTTGAGATTTGTGAATTAACTTAAGAAAAATCTTGACAGAGATACAGGTTTACTCTGGAGCAGCAGCAGCTGGCGGAGCAATGGAGATGCAATCCTATTATGCCAAGCTTTTGGGGGAGCTGAATGAACAGAGAAAGAGGGACTTTTTCTGTGACTGCAGCATCATTGTGGAAGGGCGGATCTTCAAGGCCCACAGGAACATTTTGTTTGCTAACAGCGGCTACTTCCGAGCCCTGCTCATTCACTATATCCAGGACAGCGGGCGGCATAGCACCGCCTCTTTGGACATTGTCACCTCTGATGCCTTCTCCATTATCTTAGATTTCCTCTATTCTGGGAAGTTGGATTTGTGTGGGGAGAATGTGATTGAAGTGATGTCGGCTGCCAGCTACCTGCAGATGAATGATGTGGTGAACTTCTGCAAGACATACATTAGGTCATCCCTCGACATTTGCCGAAAGATGGAGAAGGAGGCTGCTGTGGCTGCAGCAGTGGCGGCAGCAGCGGCGGCGGCTGCAGCGGCGGCGGCAGCGGCGGCTCATCAGGTTGACAGTGGAAGCCCCAGTTCAGGCCGGGAGGGTACCTCCTGTGGTACCAAGAGCTTGGTCTCCTCTCCAGCCGTGGGAGAAAAGAGCGTGGACTGCCTGAGAGAGTCCCCTTGCGGTGACTGCGGAGACTGCCATCCCTTGGAACTGGTGGTGAAAGACAGCCTTGGCGGTGGCTCGGCTGACAGCGACCTCTCTACTCCACCCAAACGGATAGAGCCCAAGGTGGAATTTGATGCTGATGAAGTGGAGGTGGACGTTGGTGAACAGCTGCAGCAGTATGCTGCCCCGCTGAACCTGGCCCACGTGGAGGAGGCCTTGCCCAGCGGCCAGACGGTTGACTTGGCTTACAGCAACTACCACGTGAAGCAGTTCCTGGAGGCGCTCTTGCGCAACAGCGCTGCCCCGAGCAAGGATGATGCTGACCATCACTTTTCTCGGAGTTTGGAGGGAAGACCAGAAGGTGCAGGAGTAGCCATGAGTTCTATGATGGATGTCCAGGCTGACTGGTATGGAGAGGACTCAGGTGAGTTCCCTTAGCATTCATCAGCCCTGTCAGTCATTTAGTACACACTGTCTGTGCCTTGTGTTCTCCCATCATCATGATCATTATCACCATCATCATTGTCACTACCAACATCATCAGTACCATCATCACCAGTACCATCATCATCAGTACCATCATCACCAGTACCATAATCATCAGTATCATCATCACTAGTATCATCGTCATTACCATCATCACCAGTACCATCATCATCACTACAATCATCACCAGTATCACCATCTCATTATGATCATCATCAGTCACCATTACTGCCACCACCACCACCAATATGCATTAATTGAGCACCTGCTGTATGCAGGGCATTGTTTCTTCGTGTATGTTTGTGTTTTACCTCTGCAACTAGAATGTAAGCGTGTTGGGGGCAGTTTGGAGACATGGGAGGAACCCACTCTCTTCCTCTGACCGGCAGTGGGACCTTGGTTAAATCACTGAATCTCTTTGAGTCTGTTTTGTCATCTGTAAAATGGGGATAATCATCCCTGCCCTGCCTCTCTCACAGGTAACGGTTGTGGGGATCAAATAAGAGAGTTTTCTTTTTTTTTTTTTTTTTTTTGAGACAGAGTCTCGCTCTGCCGCCCAGGCTGGAGTGCAGTGGCGTGATCTTGGCTCACTGCAAGCTCCGCCTCCCGGGTTCATGCCATTCTCCTGCCTCAGCCTCCCGAGTAGCTGGGACTACAGGCGCCCGCCACCTCGCCCGGCTAGTTTTTTTGTATTTTTTAGTAGAGACGGGGTTTCACCGTGTCAGCCAGGATGGTCTCGATCTCCTGACCTCGTGATCCGCCCGTCTCGGCCTCCCAAAGTGCTGGGATTACAGGCTTGAGCCACCGCGCCCGGCCGAGAGTTTTCAGAACTTTTTCTCACGTATCATCTTAGATTTCCTCTATTCTGGGAGGTTGATTTTGAGTGGGGAGAATGTGATTGAAGTCATGTCCAGAGATATATGCTCCAGAGATTTATACTTCTCTGTGTCAGCCAAGGTGCTTGGCATAGAATAGGCACCCAGCCTGGTGTGTTTGATGATGCCATCTACTTGAGACTATTTGACTGATTGATTGATTGATTGATTGAGACAGGGTCTTGCTCTGACACCCAGACTGGAGTGCAATGGTGCAATCTCAGCTCACTGCAATCTCTGCCTCCCAGAGTTCAAGTGATTCTCATGCCTCAGCCTCCCGAGTAGCTAGGATTACCATAGGCGCATACCACCATGCCCAGTATTTTCAGTAGAGACAGGGTTTCACCATGTTGGTCAGGCTGGTCTCAAACTCCTGACCTCAAGTGATCCTCCCGCCTTGGCCTCCCAAAGTGCTAGGATTACAGGCGTGAGCCACTGTGCCCGGCCGACTTGAGACTATTTTAGTGCCAGTGTTTGACTTCATGTGAGCTAACTTTTTACATCCTTTGGTAGGCTTTTGTGTTTCAAGAGAACCTGGTTGTTTCTTTGAACAGTTCTGAGAGTTGAGATAATATGGTTAACTCCTCTTAACAGGTGAGGTAATTGTGTTGCAAGGTGTCTTGTAGGAGACAAAAATAAACTTGACTGCCACCTTACTGACGAAACGTGGCTTCCAGAACCTCAAGCCAAGGCTGGGCACAGCTGCATGCACCTGTAATCCCAGTTACTCGGGAGGCTGAGGCAAGAGAATAGCTTGAACCTAGGAGGTGGTGGTTGCAGTGAGCCAAGATCGTGCCACCACACTCCACCCTGGGTGACAGAGCGAGACTCCCTGCCAAAAAAAAAAAAAAAGAAAGAAAGAAAAGAAAAGAAAAGAAAAACAGAACCTCAAGCCAAGAAATTCATGAATTGCAGTCTGGCAGTGAAATATTCAGTAGTAAAAGTCTTTTCCTTTTTTTAGCTTCTAATTCTCTGGTTGAAGTGAAAGTCTTTTAAATAAAGGGAGATCAGCTATTTTTATTCATTACTAAATGGCTCTCTTGAGACTTTTCTTCTTTTGAGACAGGGTCTCGCTGTGTTGCCCCGACTAGAGTGCAGTGGCACCATCACAGCTCACCGCAGCCTTGACCTCCCGAGCTTGAGTGATCCTCCCACTTCAGCATCCCAAGTAGCTGGGGCTACAGGCATACACCACCACACCCAGCTAATTTTTTGTATATTTGATTTATAACAGAGACGAGGTCTCCCTATGTTGCTCAGGTTGGTCTCAAACTCCTGGGCTGAAGTGATCCTCCCACCTCAGCCTCTCAAAGTGCTGGGATTACAGGTGTGAGCCATTGTGCCTGGCCTGTCTTGCAAATTTTTAATTTCTGGGAATTTTTGGTTTGGTTTTGTTTTGTTTTTGAGGCAGAGTCTCACTCTGTTGCCCAGGCTGGAGTGCAGTGGTGCAATCTCAGCTCACTGCAACCTCTGCCACCTGGGTTCAAGCAAGTCTCTTGCCTCAGCCTCCCGAGTAGCTGGGATTACAGGCATGTGTCACCATGCCCGGCTAATTTTTGTAGTTTTAGTAGAGATGAGGTTTCACCATGTTAGCCAGGCTGGTCTTGAACTACTGACCTCAGGTGATCCTGCTGCCTCGGCCTCTCAAAGTGCTAGGATTACAGGGGTGAGCCACTGTGCCTGGCCTCAAATTTCATTTTTTAAAAGCAAGAGCACTCAGTATGTCTGATTAAAACTGGACTTGAAAAACTTGAAAATGGCCAGGTGCAGTGGCTAACACCTACAATCCCAGCATTTTGAGAGGCCAAGGTGGGAGGATCGCTTGAGCCCAGGAGTTCAAGACCAGCCTGGGCAAGATGGCAAAACCCCATCTCTACAAAAACAAAAAAAATTGAAAAATTAACCAGGCGTCGTTGCATGTACCCATAGTCTCAGCTGCTTGGGAGGCTGAGGTGGGAGGATCACCTGAGCCTGGGAGGTCAAGGCTGCGGTGAGCTGTGATCATGCCACTGCACTCCAGCCTCGACAACAGAGTGAGACGTTGTCTCAAAAAAAAAAAAAAAAAAAAAAAACTTGAAAATGCTGTTTCTGGTTCTCAGAGACACTGGCTTCACCAGCATTGGGAAGATCGTGGCTGCTTCCATGAACACACCATGGGAACTTGTTGAAATTCTCATTGCCGTGTGTACGATGGCATTTCACACACTGATCACCCTTTCATATCCACGAGACTCTCATGATGCCCCATGTGTTTGACAGAGGAAATATGGAGAAACCGCGACCCAGAAGGGTTTAGTGAGTTTCGTAAGAATGCAGTAGTAAGTGGCCCAGCTAAAACCAGAAACCTGGAGTGGCTTCATTTCATTCATTAAACAAACAGTGAAAGCAACACAAGTAGATAGAGGATTTCAGTGCAATGATTTTTTCTTTGAACCCCTCTGCATGTAAGCACAAGAAGTATCATGAAATAGGCATTTGGCTCTGTGCCACTTATAATATATTCAGGTCCTGTCCTTATTGGTCTGGAGAGTCAGGCTTCTTGCTACAGGGTGCTGTGGCAATGCAGCTGCCCTGGCCCCTGGCCATGCCTGTTGTCTACCATGTTTTTATTTCATTCATATGGCTCCAGGGTATAGTTTTTCCAAGTGCTAAGGCACAGAGTAGGATTGATTTGTTTGGTTATTCATTTATTTGTTCAAATATTTGAGTACCTTTTGTGTGAAGACATAAAGATAAGTCAGACATGGATGCAGCCCTCAAAGAACTGATGGTGTCGTATAGGAGATAAGACACAAATGTGGGCCAGGCACAGTCGCTCATGCCTGTAATCACAGCACTTTGGGAGGCTGAGACAGGTGGATCACTTGAGGTCAGGAGTTCGAGACCAGCCTGGCTAACATGATGAAACCCCATCTCTACTAAAAATACAAAAAAAATTAGCCAGGCGTGGTGGTGAGTGCCTGTGATCCCAGCTACTCGGGAGGCTGAGGCAGGAAAATTGCTTGAACCCAGGAGGCAGAGGTTGCAGTGAGCTGAGATCGCACCACTGCACTACAGCCTGGGCAATAGAGCGAGACTGTCCCACAAAAAAAAAAAAAAAAAGACACAAATGTAAATAACATCACATGCTAGAAAGGTACTAGGGTTGAAAGACACTCAGTTATGAGTTCACAGTAGTCCAGAAGGAGAACTGGCTTCCTACTGGGAGATCAGGGAGGCATCCTGGAAGTGCCATCTGAAGATAAGAAGAGGGGACAGGGAAAAATTGATTGGAGTCAGATCATGGAAAACCTTACATACAAAGAGGGGAGGTTATATCTGTAAGCACAGGGGATTTTTCTTTTTTTTTTTAACAGTCTTA